TATGTTACCGCCCAACTACATGCATATAATGTGTTATTGAAGAGATTATGAAATCAGACGTTTGTTTGTTGTAATGACTGCTGCATATGCTTTAACTGGGTTTTCCGGATGTGTAATGCACCGAGTGAGTTTGTGGTCGTCTGCGACACTGTCCTCTGGATCACCCTGGGCTGTCTCATCTCATCACTCATGTACACACACTCCCCAGAAACAAATGCATATTAATAGTGTGTGTGTATGTGTGCATGCATATGTATGAATGTGTATCTTTGTGTGTGTATACGCTCATGTGCACAATAAACATCATGTTGAGTGTAAATTTATATAGGAAGATTTTGTACTTCCAGGTGGATCATCAATACTATTGGTCCGCTCAATTGTCAATCAATCTGATGACATGTGCTCGTGAAAACAAGGCCAGAGAGTTTTGTTCAAAAAGTGGAGAGGGCGGTACTTCCCTACATACCATTAAGTGTCCAAGAGTTACAGTATATACTGTATACTGTACATGGCACCACTGACGACTACTGCAGAGTTTTGTGGTTTAGTGTCAGCAGAACCTGGGTTCAATTCCACCTTTCAGTGTGGAGTTTGCATGTTCTCCCCATGTCCATGTAGGTTTCCTTCGATCTACCATACCATTAAAAACAAAAACCTTTACAATAGGTGAAGATTGAGTGTTTGTCTGTGAGTGTGACTATGGGACTACAAAGCCACATGGTCTAACTGTTACAGTTCCACAGTCCAAATGAATAAATAACCCAAAAGTCCAAAATATAAATTAGCTTTTGTTTTGTTCTTGGAGTATAATTACATATGTATTAACTGTATTCAGTACATTCTTTAACAATTTAACGGATTATGAAAAATATGTTTTTATTCATACTGGTAAAATGTATAATGTGTGGTGCAATGCTGTGTGTGTGAGTGTGTGTACATGTGTGTGAGTGTGTGTACATGGGTGTGTACAGCAGGAGCTGCAGAACCCCATTGAACTGTGCAGCTTTGAAGTCTTCGACTACTGCAATTTGAAGGTGTGCAATGAAGCACGTTAAGAAAACTGTCTCATGCTGGATTATTTTTACTGAGCCAGTTCCTGCGGTGGCAACACAACCTGCAGACAGAATCTTCATTGAACAGCATTTTAGATTTGATCTCTTTGAACAAGCAGTAGATAAGGCTGATGGCAGAAACATAGGGGTAACCCACAGGGACTTATTTCACTGCGGGCTGAGAAAATGGTTGTTCAAGATCGCTTTAGATGTTTAAATTCTTCATAATATCAGATGAGTGGCGATGGTTATTTCAGTGAGCAGGCGCAAAAAAGATATCGCCAGTCAAACATCATATCATAAAAGCAATATATATATACAGTATATATTTACATTTTATTTTATTTCATTATACGGTAAGCAATCTACGGTAAACTAAAAGTTATGCTGTTACTCCTTGAAGCGTTCTATTAATTCTGCAAAGTGCAGTTACGGGGACAGGTTAAAAGGATACTTTGAAGAAAATATACCTCGCCACATGCGGTATAAAAGCCATTATGTCCTGGAAACCAAGAGCTGAGAAAATGGTATCTGTTAGCCAAGTTCTGCCAAAGGAGCTCAACAAGTTTTACTGCTGCTTTGAATCTGTGGATGCCTGTCCTGCTGTATTCCCTGATTATTTCAATCAGGGAGCCTTTACTGTGACTCGGGAGGAAGTCCAGAGGGTCTTATCCAGGATGACAGTACAGAAAGCTCCATCCCTCCTCATGTTCTGAAACTGTGCTCTGAGCAACTTTCCCCTCAACAGATATTTTCAACCTGTCGCTACGGAACTGTGCTGTGCCGAGCTGCTTTAAAGAGTCGACCATCATCCAGTTCATCCTGTGACATGCCTCAATGACTGTTGTCCTGTGGCCCTCACGTTTGTTCTCATGAAGTCTTTTGAGCGGCTCGTGTTGGACTTCGTTAAGAGCTAAATCCCTGTGAGTGTTGACCCGCTCCAGTTTACAATCTCTTTTGCTCTGAACTCTGTCTACAGTCACTTGGACATTAATAAATCTGTTGCAAGAATGCTGTTCATTGATTATAGCTCTGCTTTTAACTGCCTTGTCCCAGGTAAACTGATTGAAAAACTCATGTCTCCCGGTTTAAGTGTTGCCATGTGTGAGTGGATTTTTTGCTTTTTAATCTGACAGATCTCAGAGAGTGAAAATCAATGACTGTTTTTCTGATGTTGTTTCTGTGAGCACTGGATCTCCACATGGATGTAATTTGAGTTCTTTGCTTTTTACTTTGTACACTCACGATTGTGTGTCCTCCTCTGACTCTCACTTTATCATTAAATATGCTGATGACACCACCATCATCGGTCTCATCAGTGACAATGATGAATCCTCTTATAGAGCAGAGATACAAAATGTGGTTCAGTGAAGTAAAACAAAATGTGGTTCAGTGGAGTAAAACTACTACAACCTCCAGTTGAACGCATCAAAAACGTGTGAAATTGTGTTTGATTTTAGCCGTTACAGTTTCTCGATATAACACTGTCTAACGACCTGAAATGGAACAAAAACACTAATCGGGTTGATGAGAAAGCTCGCGGACGTTTCTATTTCCTGCTGAAATTCTAACTCTAAGATTCGGATTAACTTTTATCGCTGCACCATTAAAAGTTTGCTTGTTGGTCTTTGACTGTGTGGTTTGTTGACATCACAAACAAAGAAAGGAGAGTCTAAACAAGGTGCTTCGCTCTGAAAGAGGACTGTGAGCTGTGAGCTACCTGTTCTGGAGGTTCTTTATGATTCCAGAATTTTAAACCGAGCTCTTAAGTTAATCAATGACTCTTCTGGCCACCCTGGAAAAGCCTTGCTCCAGCCTCTTCCCTCTGGCAGAAGATATCTTGCTTTGCTAACAGCTTCTTTCCACCAGCTGTTATCAGTCAAAACAAAGCACTTTAATGATTGCATGTATTGAAACTATTTTTGTTGATCGATTTTAGAGTGACAATTATTTTACTTCTGTACTTTCAACCCTGTTTTATTCATCTACTTGTCTGGTGCACACTGGGGACTTTTTGCAAACCTATACTAAATAAAATAAAATCTCCAACTCTAGCATCGAAGAAACATTATTTAACATTTGTAGCAGAAGTTCTATTATGAAGATCAAAACAGAAATTTCTTTCATGCTCTTTATTATAAAAAGAATATCACAGAACATGTGCACATTGGGTTGTTGTATTTCATGAACACAGCTATCACTCGGCGAATCGAGGACCTCTAACCGCACGATGAAATGCAGCTGAGAATAAACAAAGTGAAGTTGCCGCTCACAGCAGCGCTAGTGAGGCTGACTGTTTTTCTATTGATGAGGAGGAAGATGCAACTGCCTTTCCTTTAGCGCGGACGCTGAGTTTATGATATCAGGATCAGAGATAAAAGTGCAACACTTTGCGATGAGCAGCACCACCACATGTGCTTTACATACAATGTGGAATGAGAACTTTCCGGTCTGCTCTTATCTTTGTCCGCCACATTCCACCACACAGCCGGCCTTCAAGGCCGAAGATGGACATCTCTCATAACTTACAGACTCATCAGTATATCAGTTGTTAGGCTCACCCCTCCCCCCTACATGTCTGTCTCTCTCTCTCTTTCTGTCTACGGTGGTCTTCCCCTCCACCTCCCCCACCCACACTCTCCCTCTGACACGCCATATTGGACGAGGCGGGTCAGAGTGACAATGTCCCTTTAAAAAGATCTGCATGCTTTTCCGCATGAACTGTTTCCATCCAATAATGTCTGTTGAAATAAATGTTTGTTTTGCTCTCTGCTGTTGAATAACTGTCATAAGGAGCGCGGATACGTTGTCCGCAGCCGGCCTTGATGTTTATTCATCGAACTGAATTTCCCCATCTGTGAGACAATAAAGGATTGATTGAGTCCTGACTGATGCGCATGTTGTGGTGGATCGAAAAAGAAACAGCTTTACTTTACTAAATGGTTAATGCATTACTTTACCATTCCCCCGGAAAAAAAAGTACTTGAGTGTAAGGCGTTACACCAAACAGAGATAGATAGAAAGTCATTCAAACAGTATAAAATTTGCTCCACAGCGGCCACTTCATTTTCTCACCGAAAACCCCTGAGAGGGTTTGAGCTCATCATTAATCACCCTCAGCTGCACAGTCACACACCTGTGCTGGTCAGTATCACTTCATGGCTGCATCTAAACAGAGCCTTTCAGCCTTTGAATCAAGCAGCTGATTGTGCAGCAACCCACCTCCTCCCCGTCAACACTTCTTCCGTGGCAAATTGTCCTTTTATTGGCTCTGATTTCTTTGCCACCAGGGTCTAGTCCAGGAGGTTTGCTAGCTCATAATCTCTATTACATTCCCTCCAGCATACACTATGCAATATGTATGCCGGTCTAATTACAATACATACAGTATATGAGTACATCACGCATCTGCCAGATTACATTTTAAATGTAGTCAGGCAAACATGCCAGTGAATACAATTGTATATATGTTATTATAATTATAGAGCAATCTTTTTCTTGAGTCTCTACAGATTGAATTGTCTTTTTGAGTCTAAAGCCATGTTACATTGTCCCCACATGTCTTTTCATCACCAACAGTTTGGACAATTCCCCTTTCACAGCTACTGCATGTTACAAGGACAACATTTATTGAATCAGCCCCAGAGTCAGGACAAAATATGAAGAGTCAGTGTGAATATTTCTGCGGCTAAAACCTGGAGTCTTCCTGAAAATGTGAGAAAACCTCTGGCTCACATTTCAAATACAGATTATGGTCTGTTTAGATCTGCTTACAACATACAGTAGCTGTGCTTCTTTATTTTGTTTTCTTGTTTCATTCTTTATTGAGGTATTGTGCAACTTTGGGGCACATTTACATTATACTATATAAGACAAAACAACCACAATAAATACAAATCGGTAAATTGCCAAAGCCCGTTGGGATTTTTGACATTTTATGGGTCTTACCTAGCAGGTCTGTGGAAAGGCGTCCAGGACAGTCTAGTGTGACAGAGGTCCCTGCTGGGGTCTGGGGCCAGCACACCCCTCCATCCCAGGCACGTGGACAGAACAGGGCTGAGGAAGGCATCAGCACAGTGATGTTTTTACACAGACAACACAGTATCTCTACAATCTACACTGACGATACAAATAAACAACTACGATACAACTAGGAGTTGTCATAGCAGTAGAATTTGGGGCTGTAGCAGCAATAGTAGAAGTAGATGAAGTATTTAGGAGTGTAGTCATGCCAATAGTAGTAATTTGTAGTTTGGTCTGTTGTCTGGGGAAAAATTTACTGAAAAGTCCTTAATAAATAATTAAATGATAATTTTCTGATAGTAGATATCTGTTCAACACTTAGTATTGTCAAAGGACTGAAGGCTGTTGAGTGAAAAAATCAGATTAAGTGTACTCATTTGATTAAAAATATTCAATTGATCAAACATACTAATTTGATGAACCTTGATTAACCTCTGTAGGGGCGACAGTAGCTCAGTTGGTAGAGCATTGGCCTTTGAGCCTGGAGGTCGTGGGTTCAAGCCCACCATAAGACCTACTTCACGACTCCCACTGATGACTGCTGTCGTTGTGTCCTTGGGCAAGACACTTAACCCCACTTTGCCCGAAGCCCCCACTGAAAGATCTCAGCTCCTGTGGACTCATTACCTGCAGGAGGATCAGTGAGGGGCTGGTGCTCTGTGACTGGGTGCAGCTCTGACTGCCACCCCCCCAACCCAGAAATGGATTAAGGGGAAGAAAATGGATGGATGGATGGATGGATGATTAACCTCTCTCTTAGTAGCAGAGAGAAAGCCTGCCTTCTGGATCTACTAAAGGTAACCTGGTGGAGGCGAGGACAGCTCCAGGAGACATGTGTGAGCTCACCTGCTGTGGAGTTGAGGGTGGGGGTCTGTGGTGGAGGCCAGGACAGATCCAGGAGACATGAGTTCTGCTTTGGCTTCAGAGAACTTCCTCCCGTGGACACAGCCAGCGCCCACTGTGGATACAAGAGGACATGATGACAGTAGTGCTGACTTTTGTCTCACTATTGATCTCAAACAAATTAATGGTATTTGAGCCTCATCTCTGAAAAAATAAGTTTTAAATAGGGCAACTTTAGTTTTATTTAAACCCGCCACAGTTGTTCACCTCTTCTCAGCTCACTGTTGCTGCGCTTCATTGTCCTCATTTTATTAATTTTCATTTTTATAATCTTGTCAATTCATTTTCATTGGTCCCAATGATGAAACAGTTTGGTATCTAAATTGTCCCAAGATTCAGCTGCTGTGTTTACAACGGCTCGGAAAAAAGACTAGGTCAAAAGGACGGTTAAAAGCTGAATCCAACTGCAGCGTGTCAGTGTGAATGGATGTGACAGGTGGAGAAGGTCTCGTGGTGGGCTCAAACCCATGACCTTCAGGCCCACGCACTACCAACTGAGCCACTGTCACCTTTTCTTTTTTGTCCCCATAGGGACATTTGTCCTCTCCATTTGACCTGTTCAGGGTGTTCAGGGACCAGATGTTGATGCTCTTCAGGACCGAAGATATCTGGGAGAAACAAGAGCACCTGGGAGAAAGCCACCCTGACATGGGGAGAGACTTGCAAACTCCTCACAGAGCATGAGGCAGACTTGGAAAAGGAAAAGAAAAGTGGGGTTTGGACATAATTTCTCACATTTCTCAGAGTGCACAAAATGGCCTTAGCAAATGTGCTAATGATACTGAGGGCTTACTGTTAAAAAGCCCAATCTGCTCTCAGCAAAACATCAGATATGAGATAAGATAAGATTAACTTTTTTTCATCCCTCAGTGGGAAATTTTTAATGCCATAGTTGCACACATTGCAGCAGAATAAAAGGTGAAAAAAGGTAGGGATGCACAGATCCGATACTGATATCGATATCGGCGCCAATACCAGAGAAAATACTGGATCGGATATCTGCATAGAGAGCTGCGTCGTGCAGCCAATCCATTTTCTTCTTTTTTTTTTTTTTTTTTTACACAAACATACCAGGTATAGCCCAAAGTCTTAAAATAAATTGTGCATAATATACGTATAAACTAAGTAATACGTAAGTAATACATAAAATAATTTATCAGATCTCACGCGATCTGCAACAACAACACGACCAAGCATGGAGCGAGCGAATTAATCAACTGTGCGGCGCTTTTTACACTAGCTTCATCCACGAGTCAGACACCCTCATGCAATATATGCAATTGTGATGTTTAGAGAGCCGGGGGTAAACTAGCGAAATACAACACGACTACGCATCACGTGAAACAGCATGTTGGTTTGTTGTATGTGTTTTTTATTTATTTAAACACATCCGTGCATTTATATTCAATAAATATATAAGGTATAATACAATGTTGGAAAGTTTGTTGTGAACATTGAGCAGTTCTTCATAGTTGCAGTATTGCACATTTATGTTGAATGTCCATTTTTATCTGGAAAGTTTGAGTTCATCCACTGCTTTTGCAGTTACTTCAATTACTTCAATTATTTAATACATTTTAGTGTGATCCTTTCCAGTATCTGTAAAAAAAACGGTATCGGCAGATCTGATATCGTTATCGGTTTTGGTAGTAAAAAAGCTGGATCGGTGCATCTCTAAAAAAAGGGCACTCAGGTGATGCATCAAACAGGATCTATGATCTATGATATCGGATAAAAACATTTAAATCTGGAGAGACTTCAAATGCAGTTTGAAGGTTTTTATTGATAGATAGTTTGGCGCCCTAAGCCCCGGTGCGGCACTTAGTCAGCGAGGCTCCTGCTTGAGTGCGCGCACGATCCCCCCGGGGCCTAGGTACTGGTGGTGGCATTCGGGCAGCAGGAAGGAGCGCAAGCTTGAAGCAAGGAGAGAGAAGAAGGAGGAGGGGAGGTGGTGGTTGTGAGGCTTGAGAAGGCCGAGAAGTGGGAGTCTCCGCTTTTAAGCTGCTGGCTTGACCGGCATAGGTTGGTTGGAAATGGGCGTTTGCTGTGCGATAGGCCTAGGATGTGAGGCAGGCCTGGAAGGGATGGGCTGTAGCAGTCAGTCTTCCAGAATTAAATTTCCGCGGGCTGCATAATAAACTCAGGAGTTTTCTTTTTACTTGGGTTAAGGATAAGTCACTTGTGCAGTAGACACTGTAGTTAGCCGCAGATGGTTGGTATTGTACCGTATTATGACATTTGTTCTGGGATTACATCAGAGCTTGGTTTGAAGTGTATTGGTCACCAGTGTTGGGGAAGTTTTAAAAAGTAACTTTTTGCGTTTAAAAAAAAAATAGTAACCTGTTACTTTACTTAGATACTCTCAATGCTTTTACAGACACACAGACACAGTTGATACGCAAAGTTAAAGTGGCAGTGTTTCGAAGTAGTTTGCTTCGGGGAGAGCGACACACACTCTGGAGTCTCGTTGTTTGCCCATCACTAAAAATTATCATTGCGGCGGATCGAAAAACGTAACTGTCAATAGTAGTGCATTGGCCTTTGAGCCGTGGGTTCAAGCCCACCACGAGACCTTCTCCACCGACTCCCACTGATGTCTGGTGTCGTTGTGTCCTAGCAAGACACTTAGCCCCACTTAAGCGGTGCTGAAAGATTAAGACAATGGCGTCACCGACAGAGCAGCCGTCCTTCTGTGGACTCACCACCTGCAGGAGGATCAGTGAGGGGCTGGTGCTCTGTGAATTGGGTGCAGCTCTGACTGCCACCCAGAAATGGATTTAGGGGAAGAAGATAGACCCCACCACAGCACAGAGACCGCTCTAGTGAAGGTAACGAATGACATCAGACTTAACACTGACGCAGGAAAAGTCTCAGTTCTTATCCTGTTAGATTTAAGTGCTGCTTTTCGACACTGTCGATCATGGTATCCTCATTCAGAGACTTGAGGACTGGGTTGGTGTTTCTGGTACAGCCCTAAGCTGGTTTATGTCCTACCTACAGGACAGAAAGTATTTTGTGGAGATTGGAAACTGTATCTCAGACCATCTGGCCCTAACCTGCGGAGTGCCACAGGGATCAATCCTGGGGCCGCTCCTGTTTAATATTTACATGCTGCCTCTGGGTAGGTTAATACACAGTAATAACGTGTCCTTTCACAATTATGCTGACGATACTCAGGTCTATGTGTCCCTGACAGCAGGAAAACATGGACCAGTGGACTCGCTCCTTCACTGTATCCAACAAATCAGTGATTGGATGCAAAATAACTTTCTCCAGCTAAACACAGAAAAAACTGAAATTATTGTTTTCGGACCTCAAAAACAAAGAGAGAGCGTTATGCCACCTCCAGTCTCTCTCCCTAAAACCCTCAACTCAGGTCAGAAATCTAGGAGTAATAATGGACTCAGACTTAAATTTCAATAGCCACATATCATCTGTGACATCATCAGCTTACTTCCACCTAAGAAACATTGCTAAAATTAAAAACATTGTGTCTAAAGCAGACTTGGAGATTCTTATCCACGCATTTGTCTCCAGTCGATTGGACTACTGCAATGGCTTGTTCACAGGTCTCTCTAAACAAGCGGTAAAACAGCTGCAGTACATCCAAAATGCTGCAGCTCGAGTCCTGACTAGAACCAGGAAGTACGACCACATTAGTCCGGTCCTCAGGTCTCTGCACTGGCTTCCTGTGGCTCAGAGAATAGATTTTAAAGCAGCTTTACTTGTGTACAAGTCTCTCCATGGCCTCGCACGAGGGTACATCCGCGACATGTTGGTGCCATATGAACCAACTCGGGCTCTGAGGAGCACAGGGACTGGACTTCTGTTAGTGCCAAGAGTCGGAACTAGACATGGGGAGGCTGCGTTTCAGATTCATGCAGCTAGAGTCTGGAACCGTCTTCCCGAGAGTGTGAGACAGGCGTCTACTCTAGCAGTTTTTAAAACTGAACTGAAAACAGTTCTTTTTAGCTGTGCATACAAGTGAATGATTTTATATTTGTTTTTATCTTTAATCTTTTTAATGCGCTATGATTATTTATGATTGTAATCCCTTGTGTGATTTTAATGTTTTACGGTTTTTAACTACTTGTGTGATTTTATATATCTTGGGCTCTTAATCTGTCTTTTTATGTTTACTTAAATTTTAATGTTTGATGATTTATGCATGATGTTATATGGGTTGTGAGGCGCTTTGCGTTGCCTTGTGTAGGAAAGGCGCTCTACAAATAAACGTTGATTGATTGATTGAAGATGGATGGATGAACGTTACTAAATTGTCAACTTACTTTTCCGTTTTACTTTTCCGTTACTTAAGTAGTTTTGTTTCAATCTGAAGAGACCAAGACAGACACATTAATGGATGAAAAAGATGTATTTGTTTGGCGCATTGACCCCGGCAGTGACACTTGCAGAGGGGAGATCATTTGCTGCTGAAGATGATCTCAGATCCCTTGGGGTCAAGCACTGGTGGTGGCTAGAAGCAAAGTGTAATGGGGCGAAGGCGGAGCAGGAGCCAGAGCAGGAGCCAGGGCAGGAGCCAGGGCAGGAGCCAGGGCAGGAACTTGAGGAGGCGCTGGGGAGGCGGTGGGTGTTGAGAGCTTCAGGAAGCGCTGTTTATCAGGAAGTGGCTGCTTTTAAACTGCCCGCTTTGCTGTCTGTGAGTTGGCAAGAGGCTGGCTGGGCTGTGTGATTGGAGGAGGCTCGAGAGGCTGGCAGAGGTCTATGATTGGGTGGCCCTGGACGGGTGAGCACTGTGGCACGGTATTCTCAGTCTGCTTCACACCAAACACTATTGGTCACTTAACAGCATCATGAAGTGCAAAGGATATCCAGGACACTCAACATTTTACAACATTTATCACACTCATGGACATTGGTCAACTCCCCATTCGGACCAATACCCATGTGTGCTGTATTTTTTGTGCTTGAACTGTTTGATTCTCTGACACGTGTTGGCGATTTTAACAGTTTTGTTAAGTCTTCTGAGATAACTACTGTTTTATTGTCATTTAGGGCTATACCAAAATAAATTGAAATTAATCAAAAAAGAAG